TTTTTTTGCAAAATAATATGAAAAATCTAGGGGTCACGCATAGTTCAGGAGGCAAATTGCACCTGATGCTGGGTTATAAATTCACAAATCTCACTTGCCGTTCTGTAAAATTTGTGCATCACATATTAATTTTGGCCTTAATTATGCACAGGTAGAAACCCTTTGCCACCCTCAGATAGTAAAGGGAGTTTATATCGAGATCATGGGAGTGAAAGGATTAACAAGCTTAGTCAGCCAAAAGATTACAACAAAGAAGTGCAGAACAGTTGCAAGGTTCAACTAGTTGTTTTCAGTGCTTTCACTATCTGTAAGATGAGGAGATGTCATGTTTTGTGACATCCTGTAATAAAAAATGATCATTACAATTAAATAATTTCCTTTTGAGACAAAAAGATGTTCAGAAGTTACAAAGTATGTGAGCTAGATACAAGGGTTTTTGTTGAGGGAGGAAAGCAGTAAATCTGAAACAAGCAATAAAGGTTCTGCTCTAGCTTTGAAGGCACCAAAGCACAGCATGTGTTCCTTATTAATTCTTATTATGCCATACAATAGTTATTATGTTAGTTCAGAGTATTCAATATTGGATCAATAATAACCCCCAGTTGATAAATTTCTCCATTCTCATCACTTGCCTTCTTCATATTGTATTGATATTGTAAGGCGTACTTCTGTCTTGGGTTCCTCACAGGAGTTAGGGTTAGTCACATTAACTACTGTGCTGGCACTGAGATACATTTTTTCAATGTTTTTCTTCTTTATAGGTTGGCAAAGGTTTGAGATATATACCCCATGTGAAGTCATGTGTGAAGAAATATTCCAAGAGACTGAAAGTGATCAGCATCATACTATTGACTATGATTCCTTGGCTGAAGGTCAGCCAAGCAAGTGCACAAGAAGCCTTCACTGGGATCTCTGTTACAAGTTATTTTGCTGTTATTGGATGGGGCCAAGCAATGCACCTTCTTTTTATCATCATTGTCATTTTTCCATGTTTTCTATTGAAACTGGAAAAACCTGCTCTCAAGTCAGCTGTGATAATGGCCAGTCAAAAATCCCTGGCAGTTGCAGTATCAATAACCGGTTACCTTCCATTTATGCAAGCTGAACAAGGCTTGCTAAGCTTACCAATGATTTTAATGCACCTTGGAATTCTTCTGTCTGATTCAGTGTGGGCATCTTGGTGGTTTGCATGGGATGCCAAGAAAGAAAAAGAGAAAGCTGGCCCTGGCAACATGGCATTTAATGGAGATGAGACTACTAATCAAACAACTAATGATGAGCTGGATCATTTATCCCGTGATGCAAATCAACAGTTTTATGTTTCATCTGTTTAATGACCTAATTTAAGTCATATACCAATTTTCATCAAAGAATGGCTGTGCTCTAATAAG